TGTGTGTGTGTGTGTGTGTGTGTGTGTGTGTGTGTGTGTGTATGCATATTTGTATATGTATATATGTACATATATATATATATGTATATGCATATATATATGCATATGTATAAATGTACATATACATATATATATGTATATGTGTATATATATGTATATATATATATATGTATATATATATATATATATATATATATGTATATATATATATATATATATATATATATATATATAAAATCTTCAAAATCAAAAATATTTAGTATAATGAAGTATGCCCAGCAGATGTTCTTATTTCAAATTTCTGCCGACAGACGGCACTCATGCGTTGTTTTCCGCTCCAACACCAATTTTGAATTCAGACTTCTCTATATCTGTTCTCTGCCGTTGACGTTCTTGCAATTGCAATGTTAGTTGTGATTTTGAATACATTTTTGCGCATTGCTCCGAAGAAAGTCCCAGTGAACGTGATAATACTATGTGTAAGGTTATCTCGCTGGAAGATAAGGTGGGAATTAATTATTTTATTTAGAATACTGTACGCACATCTCATAAATAGTGTAATAGGCAATGGGGAGTTTTTATTTGTGGTTTATAGTGCGGTTATCTCGACTTAAGTCGTTTTTCGGCCTAAGTCATGACCACTGGAACCAATAAACGACGTAGAGTGAGGTATACCTGCAGTAAAAATTTACATGCATTTTTTAAAATATTTTTTTAAAAGATTTTCTCTTTGTTTTGTTTTTTTTTTTGTTTTTTTTTGCTTCATTTTAAGGGGCGGATCAAAACAGGACATGTAATATCTCAGGTGCGGGGAGCATAGGAAGAAATATTAAAATAAATACATTAAGATATGAAGCCCACGCAGAGATCCAAACTGATCATTTGATCGTCGGGGGAATCGTCAATTGCCCACCCTGCTACAGTTTCAGAGATTCAAGAGCAAAATGCTATGTAATATATATATGCGTATTATGGCAAGTTGATTTCTTATTTTTTTTTTTTTTTTAGAACATCAACATGACACTCGATGTGAAAGCCGGGATTTGATGTGATAAGTACTGACACCAAAACGTAGATTTATAGCTTTTACCAATGTTTGAGTATTTAGTTTTAAATATCGTTTGAAAAAAAAAGTACATCAGCACCTAATTTCGGCAGGTTTTTGCTTACAAAATGACTTCAAAATGTTGCTATTTTAAGAATAAATCCAAATAAAGTTGATATCTTTTGTATTAGATACATTGAAAGGAAAATATTTTCAAATCAGATTTCTACTAATGAATCACCACAAACAAAATATACAATGTTTTTTTTACTGTATTTAATAAGAAAAAAGTGTGTAAAAATATAAAAGATTGCATAAAAAGCTACTCAATGAATAAGATTTGTTAAATCATTTGATAAATCATCATTAATAAAAACGAAAAACAAAAATGAACTGTATGACATAATACTGTTGAGCACAAATTCTAAAACAAAATGTTTTAAATTTAGAGAATATTTTTTTATCCTGCTATCGATCGTAAAGCTGAGGTTTACTGTGATTTGGACTGACGTCGAAACTTATCTGCATACCTTTGAGTAATTTTTGAGAATTTAGTTTTAAACATCATCAGAAAACAATGTCCAGGAATACGAAACTATCGCAGGTTTTGCTTACAGACTGATTTCAAAATGTTACTATTTCGAGAATAAATCCAAATAAAGTTGATATATTTTATATTAGATGCATTGAATGGAAAATATATTCAAATCAAAATTCGAATTATACAATCACCACGTCGGTGAACATAGAAATGTATAGCAATACCTCATTTCCGCGGGGTTTTGCTTACAAACCGACTTTTAAATTTTTCTGTCAAGAATAAATCCAAATAAATTTGATATCTTTTGTATTAGATACATTGAATGGATAATATATTCAAATCAGATTTCTAATTATGAATCGCCACAAGCAAAATATGCAATGTTTTTACTGTATTCGATAAGTAAAAACAGTGTAAAAAATTGGAAAAGATTACAAAAAGGCTATTCAATGAATAAAAATTGTTAGATCATATATATATATATATATATATATATATATATATATATATATATATGTCTCTCACACTATTCCTCACCACCTTCTATGTCAATTTATATAAGCTTAATACTCCCCTTCAAAAGTGTAAATTTTAAATTCATTTTTCGTCTCACCTTTTGAAATTGAAGTCTGAAGATCCAGAGAAAAAAAATTCTCTGGTGAAATAAATTATTACAAATGGAGCCAAACAGTGGTCTGCTTTTTTTAACATTAGATTATATATCTATCTATATCTATCTATATCTATCTATCTATCTATCTATATATATATATATATATATATATATATATATATATATATATATGTGTGTGTGTGTATGTATGTATGTATGTATGTATGTATGTATATATAGTCATCCACAGACAGACTGTACCACATCTAATCTACGTTTAGTAAATCAGGATAATTTATAT